GTTTTACGTGGACTGAACAATCTCATCATGACCTGCATACATAGAAATGGGAAACGATTAAATTATTAGAATAGAAAATACATAATGACCCCAGTACAACCAGACTAAAGGGTATACCTGAAATACAGTTTTGAGGAGAGGCTTATTCGCAGCCTGCTCACGGCCAATATCATGACACCACCTAAATCAAATTATAACAACCTTTTAAGCTAGATATTGTAAAACCAAGTAATATTAGAAGAAAAACATACGGAAACACATGTTACTAGATAAAACAAAACCAAAGAAAACTCACATATTTATTAGCACTATATCTGATACAGCAAGCGCAAAGAGGGCACTTTGCTTCTCAAATGCAGTGTCATCCTAAAAAAGAATGTAGCAAAACCACATTAAGAAACAACCAAAGTATACAAAAGTATACATCAAGCTAATTATGATACAAATGAAGAAAATGATCAATAATAATCAAGAATATCTAAAATTCACACTCGGTTTTCACAGGAAACTTGATATTTTATATTAAACAACTTCTATTTCATTGATCAATATGAAAAATACAAAAGAGTGGGTAAACAGCTAAAGAAGACATTCAAAAAGGGGATGGGAGTGGACAATTGTTCAAATTAGCCTGAGAGAAGGCAAAAGGGTTGCAAAATATTTTGTCAACCAACCCATCTATAAATAAAAAAAACAGTCGTATGTATACCTCTTCAACAATATACCACATCTTCACTTATCTTAAAAGGTGCCTTTATTTCTCCGTTACCAAAGTTCCCAGAACACAAAACATACACCCAATTGTCTTCGTCTACAAAAATAACCAATTTTCTAAAGCCTAAGCCTAAAAGGCTTTGGAAATGGAAATCATGAATCATGCATGGAAAGCACCAATTTGGGTAAAAAATGAAGAGAAATATTGTAAACTTTCCAGAACAAAACAAGTAAGAAAAACGTGTTTTTGAACCTTGGTTGTCATATTCATAGCTATTTACACAGAGAACCAACAAGGAAAAAGACAAAATTTGGAGTTCTTCCCTATGACTCAGTCTAGACTAGGGTATTGACTTTTCTATTAAAAGATGGATACAAAGAATGTTGTGATTCTAGGAGCCTTCTTATTTCTGATACACTCAGGTAGGAATCACCTCGGTGTTGAGTGTTGTCTAGCAGAGAATTGAACATAAATTGTAAGAATATGTCCCACAGCTTTTCAAAATTCAGATTACTGAATCTTCATCTAAGTGGTACTAAAATCTCCAATAAGTCAGAGAAACCCTCCCACTAAACAGGCCAGTTATATTTGATGAGTTTATTGAACTTGGAGAGGAATATAGCATTTTTTTCACTATTAACAAAAAAAAAAAAAAAAAAAAAAAAAAAAAAATGATCTCAACAGGAAGAAGGATGTGATAATAGTGAACACAAAATATTGACAAACATGGTTGTGGAAGAATAAAAATTAAAAAAAGAAGCAAAAATATAAGAAAGTACAAGGAAATGAAATGCATTAGTAACCGAAAAAAAGCATCAAAATGCACCTCTCCTCGTTCTCTTCCATCAGTTCCCTCCAAATCCATTACAAGTGTACAAGGCTCAATGCCAGCACATCTAGCCAACCATATACCTTTAGTTGTTTGAGACCTATAAAAAGACAGAACAATTTGCACTGTTCAGCCACCGAGCCTAAATAAACAAAAACAAGAGGGTCGTTTCTTATCTACAAAAACCAAAGACATTGGGAGACGATAATAACTTACCTTCCTTTAAAAGCATCCATCTCTCTAAAGTTGGTTCCAAACAGATTATTTAGCAGCGTACTCTTCCCTAAGCAGATTATATATTCAAAAAACAATAAGGATTTCTCAAGAGACCATAAACCAGTAGGAAGTATATCTATCTGAAACTGTACTTTGAGTTCAAATATCAAAATGCAATGAAAATAGATAAAATGGTTGAATAATAAATTTTAAATTCACAGTTAGATACAGAGGCAGGACACCAACTTCTTAAAAAAATTAATTAAAATATTAGCAGGAAGCATGAACTTGAATTTTTTGTTTTGTTACGACAAGCTTCTGAAAGCAGACTACTTACCACTACTTTGAGGGCCCATAATGGACACAACTGCATATGAAAGCCCACATTCCCCCAATTTCACATCTTTGATAAAGCTGTCAATTCCATCGACATTGAATCCACCATCTCCATCTATAAGCTGAACAGAGCAATTTTCATCGCTCTTAGCTGCTAGAAGATGATAATTTTTTCTTATTAGAATCTCGTAATTGTAGAAATGACAACAACAAAAATAAAAAATAAAAAAAGTAAATTAAGCAAGTAAAAAACAAAAGAAAAATTGAACCCATTAAAATAGACCAACATAATAATGTTCATATCTAGCTTTCACGAGCGATAACAATAACGCTCTCCCATTCCCTAAAGACACCTAGCAAAACTGATTCATGATCGCTTCATATATGTGACAACAAGAAACATGGAACTTCTTTTCTCAATAAATTTGAGTGAGTTGCTCCCAAACACAATCATTCTACAGTAACTTTGATGGCAGCATCCTTACAGGTCAGAACGCATCTAAAATCTAAATATTAAACTCAACACAACCAAGAGAACTCGCCAGCAAGATACACCGAGATTCATAAAACCCAGTAGATCATAAAGAGAATCCAACAGCACAAACATCTCATTTTCGAATTCATCGATCTAATACTCCCGAATAGCGTGATCATCCCTAAAAGATTTGGAGCAAATCAATCACGCTCTAATCGAGGTAGCTCAAATCCTTTTATTAGCAGTGAACAGCAATTAAAACAAACATGCGCGGGTAATGGATAATCAAACTATATCCATACGTTACATCTCGCGCCCAATTCAGTTGAAAAAACGAAATTAATTATACTGAGGGTGCTTCCACGTAACGCGAATCAAACAAACAGTACAAATTAAGCTAAAAGAAATAGATATGGATCACCGCCACTCAGATTACACAAGCTGGATAGAGATTAAAACGAAAAGAAGAAAAAACATACCCATTTGAAGGAAGAGGGAAGCTGATGCAGATTAGAAGCTGTAGAGGACCAGATAATGTGTGAGATCGATTGAAAACAGAGGGAAAAAAGCAGATCTCGGAAGGAAGAAGGGGGTCTAACCTTTTCGGAAGTCGATTACGAAGATGGAGATGGGAGTTGATCTTCGAAAAGCAGGCTTGACTGTCTCTGTTGTTCGTTCCGATTTCCAAAATGCCGAATGCACCAAAGGAGTGGGCGATAAATATTTGAAGGGCGAAAATATAATTACGAGACAAAGTGAGGACTCCCCCTTAATAAATAAATAATTATAAGGGTTTTTTTTTTTTTTGTTTGTTTTTTACTTCGATGCCACGTCATTAAATTCTCTCCCCAATGATATTGAATTCTTTTTTGTTTTTTAACTAATTAATTTTTCTACTTTAAATCATATTGTTACTTTTTTTTATGTATTATATTTTAAAAATAAAATGATAATTAATTGACAAATAAATTCATAATTTCATTAAGGATTAGTGTCTCAATAAATGCATTTAAATATTTTTATAAATAAAATCTTAAATAATTAATGCATTATTTAATTATTAATTCACGACCAAAATAATGGGGTGAGTCCCTAAACTTTTGTAAAATTATAATTTAGCTCCTAGATCTTACTTTTATAAAATTATAATAATTTTGGTATTATCCCATTCATAATAATTTAGTCACGAAATCAAATATTATTTAACAATTTAAACTTAATATATCTAATAATTAATAATTTTGAAAAATTTAATTACAATAATTTAATGTTTTAGAGTGATGATTAATAATTTTCTCAAAATTTAGGGGGCAATTGTTGCAATTTTTAGATTTTATAATGGGAAGATTTACATGGTTCAATGTTTTTTCTTTTTAAAGTAAAATAAATCTTTAATTTATCGACCTTCGATTAATTGATTTCTTTTAATTTTATAAACGGCGGCTCTTGCGAATTCAACCGGCGACCGGGTGCTGACCCATGGTCCCGGTTAATTAGAGATTCTGAAGGGGTAAAACCGTAAAATCGGAGGTAAACTAGAGGAATTTGGTGGACCCGACGCGTTGGAGTTGCGCTGTACGACTAAGGAGTTGGAAGTGGGGCCAAGGCGGGGTCCACCGGCCGCCCATCTAGACGCTGGGCCCCAGGCCTCGTAAGAAAAAGGTTGGACGGTGGGATCACATTCAACGCTTTCGAGCGCCATTGGTAGCCGTCCATCGGGGTGGACTACGCATGTGCCACCACACTCCATATTCTTTTGGGTTTTCTATTAACTTAGGAATGTTGAGATTTGGGAGTAGTTGTAAAATTAAAATATTTAAATTATTATTATTGTTGTTGAATTAGTTAATAATAAATTAATTTATTTATTTTGAAAAAAAGATAGCCTAAGCTTTTGGCCCACAAATTTTGCAGCCCGGCCCATGATTCAGCCCATTTTACTTGGAGTGGCCCACTTCCAACCTGTTGTAATGGACTTCTTTTTTCATCACCTCATAACCAGGGGCGTACATTCAACCCGACAACCCGACAACTCGGACCAACTCAACCCAAACTATAATGATTGAGTTGGGTTGGATTAGCATTTCGAATAGAGTTTGGGTTTATTTTGTCTGAACTCGAATAAAAAAAAGCCATGTTTTCATTTTTAAATTTTTTTATTATAGGGTAAATAGCATGTAAAAATTAAAATTTTATACCCATTTTTTAATACAGTATTAACAGAAAAATATTTTTTCTCTTTTTGGAAAAATTTAAAAATATTAATATATTTTTTTAAAGTTTTAATAGTATTATTTAAAATATTTTTTTAGATTTTTTTTTTTAATTTTAAAGATATTATTAAAATTTTAGGAGTGGGTAATTTTAGATAAAATAAAGTTTATTATTTAGCCATATATTTTATCGAATACACATTTATTATTCTATTTTTTAACCCCGCCTTCACAACATCATCCCAATTTCTCGAGTGGAAAATCAGCCCTCGGGCCTCAATCCGTCATTCCGATCGTCGGCGCTGAGAGCTCATCCGTACTCCGTCATCGGATAATGAAGAAGATCGGCAAGGTTCCGTTAATTTCGCCTAATCTAACTACGGTTTTCCTCTCCCTGCTTCTCATATCCTCCGTCCACTCCTTCTACCTCCCCGGCGTCGCTCCTAGGGATTTCCTGACTGTACGTTATGAATTCGATCACTTCCTCTCAATGTTTTTTTTTTTTCATGTTTTTCTATAACTCTCTATTGCTTTTCCTGTTGAAATGTTTTTCACGATCTGCGCTCCGGCGAGTAGCTGCGGTTTTTGGTAGTTCGTACTGCGGGTCAGTCGGATCTAGGTTTCTGGTGTTTGATCTGTTAATTAGTAGCCTATACTCTCTTAATATTGCGGTACTGGGGTATTTATATACATCATTGGATGCTGTGTTCTGGTTAGGTGTTGTGTTTCATTTTGTCTTAATTGAAGTAAAACACATCATATCTGCTCACTCCACCGCAATGAAACGTAGGATTGATGCCGCATTATGTGTAAACGTATTGTGGTATTCGTGCTTGACATTTGAATTACTTCAAATTTTACTCGCTGCGATGTTTTACCACTCGATGCCAAATCAGCTCGGTCGGGTACAATGGTCAAATACAGCCGTAAGCGTGTCCAGTTTTCCAACACTGTAATCTAAAATAGTTAAAAGTGAGTCATGTCGCGTTCAAACTTACGGGCACCAATATACTGGGGCACCAATATACTGTCTTATGAGCGACTTCTGATTGATGTGCCCGCTGCGGTTAACGGTCTAATATTATCTACTTGAGTTCTAGAACTGTTTATAGTTTGATCTCAAGGTAATAGTGTGAACTATAACAACTAAAGCTACAAACAATGTATTGTTTCAGAATCTTTTTTTTTTTTTTTTTTTTTTTTGCAATAATATATATTAGAAAATTTCATTTCTGATCTATTTTTATATATTAGAAAATTTCATTTCTGATCTATTTTTCCACATTGCATCTGTTGTTATGTGTTCAATTCCCACGAATTGATGGAAATGACATTTTTTCTTTTCTTTCAACAGGGTGATAGTCTTCCTGTTAAAGTGAACAAATTATCATCCACAAAAACACAGCTCCCATATGATTACTACTATTTAAATTACTGTAAGCCCAAAAAAATCACCAATAATGCAGAAAACTTGGGAGAAGTTCTCCGAGGCGACCGCATTGAGAATTCTGTTTATACTGTGAGTATCTTGCTTGTTTTTAAAAGCAACCTAAATGTTGTACAGATTATCCACATAAAATGAAATCACTGTACTTTATTTATTTTCCCGTCTTTAACGTTTCTAAATATTTCCCCAGTTCAAAATGAGGGAGGAACAGTCTTGTACTGTTGTCTGCAGGCAAACTCTTGATGCTGAATCTGCAAAGAATTTTAAGGAGAAAATCGACGACAAATATCGAGTAAACATGTGAGTTACAATTGTAAACCTCTATGTATTTGTGTTTAATGCTATTTTGTTTTGAGTTTTGACTTTGAAATTTAAAGTTTTACTTTGTAGTTTACTCGAAGTGGGCTCATCCCTTCCCTTGTGGCATATTTATTAACTTTATTCACTTTTCTTACAATGAGATGCCTTCCCATGGATATGTAGGATCTTGGATAACCTTCCTGTTGCCGTTCTTCGACAAAGGAGGGATGGAAATCCATCGACAACTTATGAACACGGTTTCCTTGTTGGCTTCAAAGGGAATTATGCTGGGGTATGACTTTGATGGCAGTTGAAATATGAAGTTTTCAGTTTTTAGTTTTCTATAGCTTTTCTATTTTCATTAATATATTTCTTCCTTTTCCCTTCACAGAGCAAAGAGGAAAAATATTTTATTAATAATCACTTGAGCTATAGAGTCATGTTTCATAAGGACCCAGACACTGATCTAGCTCGAATTGTTGGATTTGAGGTTACTCCATACAGGTTTCACTTTTCCTTTGCTCTTACATGTTGATTTTCTTCTTCCATATATTAAGGTCCTGCTTAATTTCACCACTGGTACTCTATCCTCTTATTTTCTTAGAGTGCTATCCAATCCAAGGCACTTCATGCTTTTAAAAAGCACAGACTTTGCCCGTAAGCTTGAGCTGATCTTTGTTGTCAGTCTTGAACTTCATATTGAATTAAATTAAACAAGGCTCTTGTAGTATTTCGCGGAATTGGAGGTTTTTTCGGGAAGCAGGGTGTGTTCCATTTGTTTGGGGATTTGGGGAGAAAAGAATAATAGTCTTTCTAGAGGGCAGGAGAGGCCTTTGAGCTAGGTGTTGGCTTTGGTTAGGTTAAGCTTTTTTGTAATTTTCTGTTAGGTCATAGGTCTTATTTTTGCTCGATTGGAGGCTTTTTGTGGGCTCTATGTTTGTATGGCATTCTTTGATTTTTTTCTCATGAAAGTTTGGGTATTCGTCAATATATTAATATATATACATATACACACATGGTAGCTTAATCTCTATCCTTCGTTGTTTTGAACAGTATTAATCACGAATACAAGGAGTGGAACGAGAAGAACCCACAACTAATTACATGTAATAAGGACACTAAAAATTTAATCCAAGGCAGCACTGTTCCTCAAGAAGTTGACACGAATAAGGAGATTGTGTTTACATATGATGTTTCATTCAAGGTACGGTCTTCACAAATCCCTGATATTCCTGAACTGTTTCTTTGATTTTGCAGTTATAAATTGGGTTCTGATCTTTCCCCAGGAAAGTGATATTAAATGGGCTTCTCGGTGGGACACATACCTTCTCATGAATGATGATCAAATTCACTGGTTCTCCATTATAAATTCTCTAATGATTGTTCTCTTCCTCTCTGGCATGGTGGCCATGATCATGATGAGAACTCTGTATAGAGACATTGCCAACTATAATCAGTTGGATGCCCAAGATGAGGCTCAAGAGGAAACAGGATGGAAGCTTGTGCATGGAGACGTGTTTAGACCACCCATCAATTCTGGTCTATTGTGTGTTTATGTTGGCACAGGTGTTCAGATCTTTGTAATGACACTCGTAACAATGATATTTGCTCTGCTGGGTTTCTTATCTCCTTCCAACAGAGGAGGGTTAATGACTGCCATGGTCCTTCTGTGGGTTTTCATGGGTTTATTTGCTGGCTATTCATCAGCTCGTTTGTACAAAATGTTCAGGGGCACTGAATGGAAGAAGATTACGTTGAAAACTGCCTTTATGTTTCCTGGTATTCTTTTTTCAATCTTCTTCGTCCTCAATGCTCTAATCTGGGGGGAGCAGTCATCAGGGGCTGTGCCATTTGGAACAATGTTTGCTCTTTTCTGCTTGTGGTTCGGTATATCCGTACCATTGGTGTTCGTTGGCAGTTATTTGGGCTTCAAAAAGCCAGCAGTTGAAGATCCTGTGAAGACCAACAAGATTCCTAGGCAGATACCCGACCAAGCATGGTACATGAAACCGGTCTTCTCCATACTCATTGGGGGTATTCTTCCATTTGGGGCCGTCTTTATCGAGCTCTTCTTCATCTTGACATCAATATGGCTCAATCAGTTCTATTACATATTTGGCTTCCTCTTCATTGTATTTATTATCCTTCTAATTACGTGTGCGGAGATAACAATTGTGCTGTGCTACTTCCAGTTGTGCAGTGAAGACTACCACTGGTGGTGGAGATCGTACTTGACTGCAGGCTCCTCTGCTCTATATCTTTTCCTCTACTCAGTATTCTACTTCTTCTCTAAATTGGAAATCACAAAGTTCGTTTCAGGGATTCTCTACTTCGGTTACATGGTTATCATGTCATACGCGTTCTTCGTGTTGACAGGAACCATTGGCTTTTATGCTTGCTTCTGGTTTGTTAGAAAGATCTACTCTTCCGTGAAGATCGACTGATTTACTGCTTACAGGACGACATAGGTTGTTCAGCTCAGACTGTATGAGTCAAGTTGATCGGGAAGAACTGAAAGATGAGAGTGCTTCCAATTCGACTGGCCTTATATTTGGACGTCAGTGAGGATTATTTTCTCGTCTCAGTCAATTCCCTGAATATGGTATAGAGTTAAGGTCCTCTCTCTGTCTTTCTCCTCCCCCCTTCGCTTATACTATTGTCACCAATTATGAATCCGTTCTATGATGTGTAAGAAACAGGGACGGTGATTTTGGAGCTTTATACAGTCCTATATGAATAATTTTACAGGTACTAAATGTTCATCTGTTACATCTAAATGCATCTCTTTTTTACTTTTTATTTTGGCTATTTTCAATAATGTTTTGTAGGAATTTGCCAATATCTGTCATAAAATTAAAGCATCGAGATGAAAGGTAGCTCGACGTTACGTGATCATTTTGTATAAGGACTTGATTTTATCTTTAGGTTTCTATTATTAAAAAACATGAGCTAGAGACTACGATTAGTCTCTAATCTATAAATGTCTCTTACTTTTCTCAAATTATTAGCGATCAAAAGAAGTGCAATAAGGCTAAATAAGGCAAGTAAGTCATTGATTGGCATAATGAAAGTTCGAAAACTTTATTAATTGCAAGTATTAAATGGAATATATAGAATGAGTTATTCATTACATACAATTAGTTATACAATCAGTTAAGGTATGTTTTCAGATTATCAGTAGAGTGCTAATGTGGAATTAGACTCAATTTATGCAAATTGATATTCATGTTGAACCACAATGAATAATAGTTCATATGAGGTATCAGTACGCCACTTTTAAAAGTCAGATTCAAACTGTTATTTTAGGTAGTTCACATTGTTTGCTTTTTTGTCTTCTCAGCGAATCAAATTCAGGCAATTTCTCATCCTTACCATATATCCTGATTGTATAATTGTATTGAAATATTATAATTTCAAAGCCAATAGGCAGTGATTGACTACAGTTACAGGTTTTGATGGTATAAACAAAATGCATCTAATGAGAATGACTAACTTCCCTAAAAGTCCTAACTAGAGGAGAGAAGAAAGGTATATTCACTTTGAGGAGCAAAAATGAAGAAGCAACAGGCTGCTAACAAAATGCCTTCTAGGTTAAAGAAAAAAAAAAGTCTGTTCCTTTTGGATTTACATGCTGCAAATCTGATCTTTTGTTTCAGGAACAGAAGAGGAAGCTCATCACTTGTATCAGCTTGAGCATGATCTCAGTTTCCCATTCCTCTGCCTGCATGAAAATTTGGAGGGGAACCACTGTTATTAAGCCCCCATCCATTACAAATAATGAACTATCAGATATGATGATGTCTTACCAAAAAGAATCCTTTTTTTCCTGCGCTAATAGTTCTTCAAGCGATATGTCGGTAGACTCGGGATCGATCTTTTCTGTCGAGTTCTCGGATTTTTCCATTAACTCCATGCAGCTACCAATTTCCAGCATCTGGACCATCAGAAGGTTGGTTCAGAGCAATCATCAGGTCTGGCTGTTGCATATTTTCAATAACAATTTGAAGTGTGTATGAAAAGAGAGAGCAAAACGAAGGGAAGAAGATATCCTATCTTATAACTTCAACTAATAGCCTAAACCCATTGCTAGTAGATATTGTCCTCTTTGGACTTTCCCTTTCGGGGTTTCCCTCAAGGGTTTAGAGTTTAATGATTAGGGTTTTTAGCGATGGGCTTGGGACTCTTACAATTATGGGAAAAGGGTGGCAGAGTCGGAAGGGCGATAACTATGTTCGGGGGATGGGATTCAGAGGCTACAACAGACCAGCAGCGTACTTTCCGACGTCTAGGAAGCATTGGCAGCGAAAACGGTGTAAATGAAGCAAGTGGGGTAGCAGCAATACCTTTTTGTATGCTGGAGAGAGTTTAAGCTGTTGTTGAAGCCAGTTAAAAACAAAGGTATCCTCCTCGAGTCTTTTCTGTTCCAATTCTAACTTGTATATCTAAGACAACAACAGATCAACAAATTTGAGTATAGATGAAACCTTGGGCAACATATACCAAATTATATCATGTCACCGACCTGCTGTTGAAGCCGATCGAGGGAGGATCGATCTGCCTTATAAAGCAGAGCTTTCGTTATGGTGAACTTTTCGGTCGGCGAATAACATCGGCTCTGTCAGTAGAAAAAATGTACACAGTTGGAGAGTATCAAATTTGAGAAAGTGAGAGTCACAAGAGACACTAATATTGTTGAAGCAAAGATATGAAGCATACTTGTGCTGCAGCTTGCTTCTAGCGTTGATTAAGCAGTTGGCAAATTGTCTGACCTGCATTTGAAAGGAAAACAGAAATAAATTGCTTAGAACTCGATCTCCGATTCAGTCTCGATTTTAACTAGCGACACGAAACCAATGGTATCGGAAAGTTATGGATAACAGTGACAGATCGAGTTTTGGACTCGGAGCAGCTAAAAACTCCATATTCATCCGCTAAAACCATGAATTCTCACATAACACAATTGTAATAGTCCAAGCCCACCGCTAGTAGGTATTGTCTACTTTGGCCTGTTACGTATCACCTTCAGCCTCACGATTTTAAAACGCGTCTACCAGGGAGAGGTTTCCACAACCTTATAAGGAATGCTTTGTTTCCCTCTCCAATCGATGGGGACCTCACACAATCCACGTCCCTTGGGCCCAGCATCGTTGCTAGCACACCACCGAGTACCTGACTCTTATACCATTTGTAATAACTCAAGCCCACCTCTAGCAGATATTGTCTACTTTGGCCCCGTTACATATCACTATCAGCCTCACAATGCGTTTACTAGGGAGAGGTCACAACACGTCTACTAGGGAGATGTTTCCACACCCTTTTAAGAAATGCTTCATTCTCCTCTCCAACCAAAATATAGGACCTCATAACAGTTGAACCAAAAACATCATATCGTATAGATTAAGCAGATTTCAAATGGAAACTCGATGAACAACAATCATTCTAGATAGAACTGTTATTCATTGAAGTCCAGGAAATATCAGCAATATTACTCCATGTCTGTTCCTAGGCAGTCTTGCAACAACAATCATTCTAGATAGAACTGTTATTCATTGAAGTCCAGGAAATATCAGCAATATTACTCCATGTCTGTTCCTAGGCAGTCTTGCAAGCTAAAATTATGCTAATGGCAGAGTCAAAACGAACCAGAAGAACTGCTGCGGAAACTCTATTTGAAGCACAGACAATAACATATAAGAATGATTGACAAGGTATAAGAATACAGAACCTGAGCCAACGTTAATTCCTTTGATTCCTGACACTTCATAAGTTCATCATACTGCCGTTTAATCTTCCTCTGAATCACACTAGTAGATGATGTAAAGGGATACAACAAAGTCAATTCCGGCTCATCTCCGCCGTGCAGCAGGTTCGCCCTCTTCTTCTTTGCCCTCTTCTTCTTCCTCTTCCCCCCTTGCTCCTCCTGACCAAACTCTCCAAATTCCTTGTTCAAATCGAGGTCATCCTGGCCCTGTTCAACAAAGAAACTCGTCCATTTCGGAGAATCCGGCGGTAAGCTTTCGAATAGAAGCGAATGAACCAAATAGGTCTGGTCGATATCGATTCTCTCAGGCTGAATCGCCTTACTGATCGTCCGCAACCTTTTACAAAGATAAAGAGAGAAACCGAGGGCGGAGAAGGTGAAGAAGACGAAGAACATGAGTAGGTCTGCTTCAGAGTAATTCGTAATTCGAAATGGGAAATCGGAGAAGAAACGGGATAAATAAGAGTGTAAAGCCGCCATTGGAGGTCTGGTTCGGATTTGAAGGTGAGAGAAGATGATTCAGTGAAACGGTGTGAAGAGAGCCTTTGAAACGGAACAAAAACCTCACACTTGACTTCATTTCCATATCGGCGAAGACGCGGCATCGAATCTCGGTTTGTAAATTTGGAAGGGGAGACTTGGTGGACTATTGGTCGTACGGTTCGTAACCCGACAAATTATTTATTTAAAATAATAATACTTTTATCCTTAAATTTGTCGTATTAATTTTAAGCTAACCGTAAACTCGTTCATTTGTTATATGAACACGACTCTCCACAATGATATGATATTGTCCACTTTAAACATAAGCTCTAATGGCTTTGAGCCCTTCGAACAAAGTACGCCTCCCATTAATCAAGCCTCGACTCCTTTTTCTTTTGGAGTCCTCTAAATTAGTCGATGTGGAACTTTCATCCAACACTTCCCCTCGACGGTACGTCTTCCCTTAATCAAAGCTTGACTCCTCCTTAATTGAGTCTCGACTCATTTTTCTTTTGGAACCCTTTCCTAAATTAGTTGATGTGGGACTTTCATCAAACATCTCCCCTCGAACAAAGTATGCGTCTCCTTAATCGAGACTTGATTCCTTTTTTTCTTTTGGAGTCTTCGTCATTTTTTACTATGTCTTCGAGGAGCTTCCACTCTTTTTTCTTTTGGAGTCCTTGGTTCAACATGACATAGCTAAGTTTAGGGCATGACTCTGATACTATGTTAGATGAACACTACTGTCCACAATAGTATGATATTGTCCACTTTGAACATAACCTCCAATGGTTTTGCTTTGAGCTTCCCCAAAATACCTCATACTCATGATCATATTCCGTACTTTTGCGAAAATTCATAAATATTAATAACAATAAATTTTAATATTATATTCTCTTTCGTTTTATTAAATATATAATCTTCCCTCAAAATTGGAAAAAAAAAAAAGGATTTTGTCCAAATTATTATAGTTTTATTGTACTTTTTCAATTGGGCTTCTATTGCGATGTATTGGATCCAAAATGAGTAATATTGGGCCTAGCCCAACCCAGCATGCCCAGTGGATGGCCCATTTTAGTAAACCAAAATATATATATATATATATATATATATATATATATATATATATATATATATATATATATATATATATATATTTGATTTAACCTTATTTATCTTGTTTAAAAATTTGATTTTAAAAGTACACCTCCCTCTTCATTTTTAATAGATTTATTAAATATTAAAAAGACGAATAAATAAATAAACAACAATAAAAAAGCTAACCATTTCATACAATTTAATAAATAAATAAATAAAAATAATGAAAAAGAAAAAAGAAAAAAAAAACATTACAGCCGAAGGCTAAGGTTTACAGTAGGGTCAGGCGGAGAGCGACTGCGAGTCAACTGACGAGAACCAAAATTGGCCGTCAAATACAAAAGACAGGAAGAAGGGGAACTCGCCCTCGTCGGAGATGAGCGGAGAAGAACCTCCCAAGCTCTACGCCAACAAACCCAAGAAAGGTACCATTCCAAACCTCCCAATCCAGTTCCCAAATTCTTAATTTTTTTTCCAAGTCTAGGCTGTTGTAGTTGCCACAAGAAGCGATCTGTTTCAATAATTCATTGCAATTATTAGGGCTTGAGTATCTTATTCATAATCGATCGGCTTTTCGTTTTCTTTTTCCTTCTGCAAACAGCTCAGGTCAAGCAATTTCAAGAACAGCACAAAGTCATGAGCGCTTCTTCTTCTTCACCGGCGCCACCAGCTTCGTCGAACACGGCATCTACGTCTTCTTCTTCTTCTTCTTCTTCTTCACTGCCGCAGCCTCCGAAGGAATCATTTGCAAGGCGATATAAGTTCTTGTGGCCCATGCTTTTGACTGTGAACCTTGCTGTTGGAGGTAATTTTGTGCTTCAGTTTCTGGTTGTTTTGTTAATGTGTTCGATCGAGAGCGTTAAATTCCAAAACGGGAAATCGGAGTCTTTGTTTAGGATTGGTACTCTCTGTTGAAATTTGTGGTGGATCAATTTCTTTAGATTTGTTCAATTCCGTTCTCTTCTTTCTGGTACACATAGGTTTGGATCTCTTAGTCGTTTGTCTGCTGGGAGATGAGTCGTTTTAGTATATTTGACTGCAAGGTAAAGATATGTGTGGAACAATCACAGAAAGGAAAATGGGGAACTGAATTGCTTACGACTTTTCATGTTTCTTCTGTTAGTTTTGTGTACAATAAAACATTCCACCCTAGCTATGTAGATATCTTCATTCAGAGGAGCTCTGTAGGTTTTGTTGTTTAGTCACGGCGGAGTTGGGAATGATCAGTTTACGATGTGATTCAAGAATATGTAAGCATGAAATAAGTGTAATTCGAGATTGATCAGAAACTAAAACTGAGTGTGTGCAATAACTTTTTTTTTTTTTATGATTTTTATGAGATCCCACATTAGTTGGGGAGGAGAACGAAACATTCTTTATAAGGGTGTGAAAACCTCTCCATACCAGATGCTTTTTAAAAACTTTGAGGGGAAGTCTGAAAGGAAAAGCCCAAAGAGGACAATATCTACTAGTGGTGGGCTTGAACCATTACAATTCTGTAGAATACTCTCTTCGATTGAAGGATGGTCTGCTGTGACAAGCTAGCACAGTAGTACTTTACAGGTGTCTTGGTAAATCTATACCGTGTTATGGGTTAATTGAAGTTGTTTTTTGGTAGCGAGATACATAGTAACGAGGGAGAAAGAGACAGATAGGGTGGGAATGGCCTATCAATCATTGGTGGACCTTCCCTTTAACCGGTCGCGGAGCTCTCAATTGAGTTGTTTAGGTTTTGGAATTCCATCTAAGGGGGTTTCGGTTCGAAGGTCATCAAGGGTTCCCAAACGTCGTGAGTGGTTGAGAGGCTGGAATTGGAGTTATCTTCAATCCAGCCATCTTTCTCTTTTTAAGTAGGCCAAAGTCGGAGGCTAAATTAGTGCCACACTATGATTAGACTGGTTGAGTTTTGCCCTCTTTATCTACACTCGTTAGAGGGAGAGGCTAACACCAAACGCAGGGTTTTTTAAATGGGGAGGGATGATTTGATATCATTGACTCACTTTTCCAACGGCGCGATCTTTTCTCTCCCGAGGAAGGGAAGATTCTTCGTTAACCTTTTTGAAAATCTTTATAGTTTTCTATCTTTCATTTGGCCTTAGGATTCTGAGAGAATAATCTCTATCCTTGGTGTTTATCATCTTCATGGTAAACACCGCAGGTGTCTCGAGCTTCAAACATTCAGTAAAGCAGCTTCGCTCCTTATTTTATTGGTCTTACAAGCACTAAGTTTAAGTCAGTTCTTTGCCTAGATAAAGAAAATGATTGTAACCTTCCACGATTTCACTCTACAACAATTTAACCTTTCGGATGTAAATAGGTGTTTGTTTGGTTCTTTCTCCTTCTTCACAAATTTAATAGCGTTTTAGCACAGTAGGCTCCCTTCCTTCTTCATCCTTTAAACTTCTTGTTGTGATATGCCAATTCTACAAGAAGAAGCCCGTATTGTATTTACAATTCAATTTATACTCCACCATCACATACAAACTTAGGTACATTAGAGCCTGAGAGAGTTTATCCCTTGCCAAACATCCTCTCAAAAGTCAAATCAATCTACCATTTTAATCTTTTAATTACTCAATACAGTGTTCTTCATTTTCTTGCAATATGACAAGAGAATGCTGGGCTTAGCTGTTCAATTTCTTTGGCATTAGTTGTTGTCTTCCTCTTTATCACGAGGAGGTGGTGATTCCACTATTACAGGGTCCTATCCTAAGAGGTCACAAGGGTTTTGTGGAACAACGCTGTGGGCTCAATCTTTTGGCAGTTGTGGCTCGCTAGAAACCAAAGGACATTCAAAGGGATCGAGTTGAGCATGAATTACCTATGGGACTGCATTTAGTTTTGTTCTTCCTTTGGGTGCGTCAGTTACAAACATTGTTGTAATCGTGATCGACAATTCAATAATGGTCCTCCTTGGACCTAATCTAGTGTCTCAAGTTGAGATTATGATATGCATTTATTAATTCTCGATTGTCATGTTTTCTTCTCATTTCCCTTAGGGGAAGGAAAAACACTTGTTATTACGAAAGCCCTAAATGCCCTAAAAGCCCTAAAAGCCCTAATGAAGCCAAGGTCCGCAATTTCCTCGTCCACCAGCTGTAGGTTGAGTGTCCTTTTCCAGGAAATATAGAATAACAAGAACATTCTAATAGGTTTATTCATGTTTTTCGTGGTTTGGCGGGTTGGGGCTCAGAAACTTATCATCTTGCAATCGTTTTGATTCAGTAGACGTCGTTGTTTTTAGGAACATTTACTTGCTTTGGCATAAACTGATATAAGTCTTTTAACTGTGTAGCTTATCTGTTTATGAGGACAAAGAAGCAAGATGAACAAGTAACTGAAGAAGAGGCTGCCCCGGATTCAGCGAAAACTGCCAAGATAGCTGCCCCTGTTGTTGAGGAATCATTTGCCAAACCAGCCATTGTGGAGCCTGTGAAGGTAAGAGAACCAATTCCAGTGGACCAGCAGCGTGAACTTTTCAAGTGGATTTTGGAAGAGAAACGCAAGATAAAGCCGAAGGATCATGAAGAGAAGAAACGCATCGATGAAGAGAAAGCAATCCTCAAAGAGTTCATCCGAGCAAAATCTATTCCTAACCTTTAAACTTTCCAAATGCAGCACTCAAGCAAACATATTGACTGTTTTAACATTGCTGATGGAATCTGAATTGTGATTTCTGTGGTCCTAAAAGGATATTGTTCGTTTCGAATGGGGATGAACATGGTTACATCCACAAAACCAGTGAGGAAATTCGTTAGGCCTACAGAATTGACAGAACCTTCACTTTTGAGGGAAAGAATAGGCAGCCCTTTTGGTGTCTGTTTGCCTTTAGTTTAGGTTCTGTAGGTTGTATGAGAAGAAGCGTCCATTTTATTAGAACCCAAGTTGAGAGAAAAAGCCAAGGTAACAACATATGCAACTTGAAGAGTTCACGTGGGCAGAATGAAATAATGCACCATCTACTTCCCAAATGGATTTGGACTTATCCAATGTGTGGTGAGATTTCTCTATCTGCATGCATAAACCTCCAAAACCCAAACTGAATGCAACTTCCAATGGGTCAAGTTTTTGGTGCTCTTTTTGGAATATTTTAGTCTTTCTATATAGTCTGTCATAAGCTCCTTCCAATGTACCTAATGTAGGCTCCATGCTTCAAAAAGAATCAGGGGGGTTAATGAAATGATGCTGTTAAATAAATAAGCCACCCGTTTAAAGCAAAATGGCTATCAAAAAATGGGTCTTTCCTTATAAGACGGTAGTGGCTAACGGTGGGTTTGAGCTATTACAAAAAAATGCGTCAACTAGGGAGAGGTTTTCTCACTCCTATAAGGAATACTTCGTTGGAGAGGGAAACGAAGCATTACTTATAAGGGTATGAAAACTTCTCCCTAGTAGACATGTTTTAAAATCGTGAGGTTGATGGCCATGTGTAACGGGCCAAAGCAGATATCTGCCGGTGGTGAGCTTGAGCCATTACAAATGGTATTATAGCCAGACACCGAGTGTGTGCCAATGAGGACATTGGGTCCCTAAGGGGAGAGGGTGCATTGTGAGATTTTACATCGATTGGAGAGGAGAACGAAGCTTTCCTTAAAAGGGTGTGCAAACATCTCTCTAACAAACGCATTTTTTAACTGTGAATTGGACTAATAACAATATGTAACGAGTCAAAACGGACAATATGTTTGCAGACCCTTTTATAAGGAAAGCTTTAAAAAAAGAGATAGGGCTTAAAATATATTCCCTCCTTTTTCTAATCTTTTGCGAAAGAAACAACCATTTCCCATCCCCCAACAAATGGTAATAAAATACAAAGAAATGGGTTTTGAAGTGAATGAAAAAGGGTATCAAACGTGCATCAGTACCTAACAAACTGAGAATCAACCATGGCCTCACTTGAAAGGCAGCCCTTGTTGCTATCTGCAGTAAGTACTTGCATTTGTATAATGAGAATGAACTGTGGATGGGACAGAAGACTAAAAAGGGGAGGGGTTTTCTAGGCGTAGGAGGACAAAAGTTGAGTGTAGGGGATGATGATGATGATGAGAGAATGTGGTGTGGTTGGAGTCAATTGATTCTTGCATGAGGCTGCCCAGCTAACACCTTTCATTTGGTGCTATAATCATATAGCTGTGGGGACTAACTACAAACCATATTTAATTCCCTCTTTAAACTCTTAATCATTGTTCTAAATCTAAATCAATAAAAGCTTCATTTCTAGTCATTGATTGCTTTAGAATACAATCATTATCTGTTCATTAAACAATTCCTTGTATTTAGACTCATGAATTGATATGAACTGATATGAACTGATATCCATGTCATTTTAGCTCTCTGTCTTTCTCTGCTGCACGCGTGCACATACACATGGAAACTCATTCTTCAATCATTTGAATGTGAAAAGATGTGGTCAGAGCTGTGGTGATGATGGTTAACCATATTTAAGAGAACCACACACAGAAAAGCCTGGCAGGCAGGGCGGCAGAGCAAATCTTTGTCCAAAATGGACAGTTTCTGGGATGTTTTGGTACTGACAGCCATTTTTTTGACCATCATTCTTCTCTATAGGAACTGCTTTAGCCTTCTCAGATCAAAGCTCTGCAGCCACCTCCCTTTGGGTTCTCTTGGCTGGCCTTTCATTGGTGAGACGCTTGAGTTCATCGCTTGCGCTTATTCGGACTGCCCCGAAGCCTTCATGGACAAGCGTCGTCGCCTGTAAGTTATCTGCAAAAACCAAATGATGCTTGGTTTCTCTTATGAATGGAGGGTTCATTTTTGTATGCAGGTATGGGAAGGTGTTCAAGTCACATGTTTTTGGAAGTCCTACCATTGTTTCTACTGAGGCAGAAGTTAGTAAGTTCATTCTGCAAAGTGATGCCAAGGCTTTTGTACCGTGTTATCCGAAATCTTTGACCGAATTGATGGGGAAATCTTCTATTTTGCTGATAAATGGGAGCTTGCAGAAGAGGATTCATGGCCTTGTAGGAGCTTTCTTCAAGTCTTCATATCTCAAAGCTCAAATAACTAAGGATATGGAGTGTTATGTCAAATTAGCTATGGCGAATTGGAGTGAGAACAGTCCTGTTTACCTTCAAGATGAAACCAAAAATGTCAGCTCTCTCTCTCCCTCTTTACCTGATTTGAGTGATGTCTAAATAACCCTTTCGAGCTTCCCCTCAAGGTTTTTTTTTAAAACGCGTATGCTAGAGAGAGGTTTCCACACCCTTATAAAAAAAATGTTTCGTTCTACTCTCCAACCGATGTGGGATCTCATAATCCACCCCCTTCGAGGCTTAGCGTCCTTGCTGAGATTCGTTTCCTCCTCCAATCGATATGGGACCTCCCCAATCCATCCCTTTTGGGTCTCAGCGTCTTGCTAGCACACTGTCTCGTGTTCACCCCCCTTCGGGCTCAGCCTCCTCGCTAGCACATCGCTTGGTGTCTGGCTCTGATACCATTTGTACAACTCAAGCTCACTGTTAGCAGATATTGTCCTCTTTGGGCTTTCCCTAAAGGTTTTTTCTAAAACGCGTCTACTAGAGAGAGGTTTCTACACCCTTATAAAGAATGCTTCGTTCTCCTCCTCAACCAATGTGAGATCTCACAATCCACCCCCCTTCAAGGCTCAGTGACCTTGCTGGCATTCGTTCCCTTCTCCAATCCATGTGGGACCTCCCAAATCCACCCTCCTCTAGGGCCTAGCGTCCTTGCTGGCATATTGCCTCGTATCCACCCCTTGGCTTAGCCGCCTCGCTGGCACATCCCCTGGTGTTTGGCTCTGATACCATTTGTAACGACCCAAGCCCACCTCTAGCAGATTTTGTTCTCTTTACGCGTCTGCTATGCAGAGGTTTCCACACCATTATAAAGAATGCTTCGTTCTCCTCCCCAACCGAGATCTCACAATTATGTTCAAATCATATTATCCAAAGAATTTACCTTTGTAACCATTTTTAGCTATCATTTTCCTGTTCATAAAGTTACTAAATGAACTCCTTTTGTCTCCAGATTTCCTTTCAAGTATTAGTAAAGATATTGATTAGTTTAAATCCTGGTCAAAGGATGGAGTTTGTCAAGCAACAGTTCCAAGAATTCATCGCTGGGCTTATGGCTTTGCCAGTGAACATACCAGGCAGCAGGCTTTACCAATCGTTGCAGGCAAGTTAGATAGTAAAAGCTTTACCATCTTCCTTCACTATCACCATTTTCCTGATGGAACTTCCTTTTATGCTTGAATTGCAGGCCAAAAGGGCTATGGTTAAACTAGTTAAGAAGATCATACAAGAAAGAAAAAGCTGTGGAAGCTCCCCTGTGGCTGTCCCACAAGATGTCATGGAAGTTCTGCTCAAAGATGAAAGTGAGCAGCTAACAGATGATCTTATAGCAGAGAACATGATTGATATGATGATTCCTGGGGAAGATTCAGTGCCAATCTTGATGACTCTTGCAGTAAAGTACCTCTCGGATTGCCCTGAGGCACTTCAACAGTTAACGGTACACTACGTTCTTAACAACTCTCGATCTTTTTGGTTCGAACCACTTCAAAAGAAAATATCCTTACTTTCCTTTCCATTTTAATAGTGTCCCTATCAGCCATGTTCTTGTAAGTTAAATTATGAAAAGTTCCTCCCGTTCAAAAGTTTTGATAATATATAAACGTTTTAAAACTACCCTAAGAATCCATTAGAATAGTGGGAAAGTGACCCAAAATAGACATTACGTAACAGCTCAAGCCTCACAATCCACCCCTTTGGAGGCCTAACGTTCTTGCTGACACACCGCCCGGTGTCTGGCTCTGATACCATTTGTAACAGCTCAAGCCCACCGCTAGTAGATATTGTCTGTTTTGGCCCGTTACGTATTACCATCAGCCTCACGATTTTATCACATCGGTTGGAGAGGAGAACAAAGCATTCCTCATAAAGGGTGGAAACCTCTCTCTAGTAGATGTGTTTTATAACCGTGAGGCTGACAGCAATACATAACGGACCAAAGCGGACAATATCTATTAGCGATGGGCTTGGACTGTTACAAATTATGACCCGAGCACCGCCAACTAAGTTAACTGCATAGATTATTGTGTATCAGGAGCAGTTTAGTGTAAAGAAAATGTTGCTGTTCTTTGAGTTGTTTGATTAGTTGTTAAACCATATGGGTGCTTGAACTGATATCAGGAGGAAAACTTGAAGATGAAAAGGCTGAAAGAGCAGGCAGGAGAGGCATTGCATTGGAGCGATTACCTATCAATGCCATTTACACAGAATGTAATGCATTAAGCTTTTGATGAACTAGAAAGAAAAGGGTAGTTAAGTTGTAGTATGAATGAACACTTTGAATCATGGTTTGATTTGAACAGGTGATCACAGAGACACTGAGGATGGGAAACATCATAATTGGTGTCATGAGGAAGGCCATGAAAGACATGAACATAAAAGGATATCTAATACCCAAAGGCTGGTCGGTGCTTGCTTACTTTAGATCCGTTCATCTTGATGACAGTCACTATCACTGCCCTTACAAGTTCAACCCATGGAGGTGGCAAGTAAGAACCGAAAGGTTTCTTTATTCTAATCGTTTCTAAATTTGGCTCAAATGAGATTTTGTGAGATCTCATACCGATCGGCCTAGTAAACACGTTTTAAAACCTTGAGGGGAAGTCTTTGAAGGGAAAGTTCAGAAAGGATAATATCTACTGGTGGTGGGCTTGGGCTATTACAAATGGTATCAGAGTTAGACATTGGGCAGTGTGCTAGCGAGGATGTTGGGCCCCCAACAGGGGTGGATTGTGAGATCTCACGTTGGTTGGAGAGAGGAACGAAGCATTCCTTATAAGGGTGTGGAAACCTCTCCCTAGAAGGCGCGTTTTAAAATCTTTAGGAGAAGCCCTTAAAAAGAAGCCGAGAGAGGATAATATGTGCTAGTGATGGGCGGTGTGCCAACGAGGACGCTGGGCACCCAAGGGGGGTGGATTGTGAGATCTCATATCGATTGGAGAAGGGAACGAAGCGTTCCTTATAAGGGTGTGGAAACCTCTCCCTAGCAGATGCACTTTAAAACCTTGAGGGAAAACCTGTGAAGGGCTGCCTAAAGAAGACAATATCCGCTAACGATGGCTTGGACTTTAGGTGAAATTTATTTTGGTTTGAAAAACCATGTCTCCCTAATGGCTCTGTGGTTCAACAGGACAGAGACTTGAATAGTTGTAATTTCACTCCTTTTGGAGGTGGACAAAGACTATGCCCTGGACTTGACTTGGCCAGGCTTGAAGCTTCCATCTTCCTTCACCACTTTGTCACTCGCTTCAGGTACCTCGCTCGTTACATCAATTTCCCATCATTCACGATGTTTCTAAATGCTTAAAAAAAACGTTTTTAAACACTTGAAAAGTCATTCTAAGTAGGTCCCATGTTTCGTTTTCTTTCATTACGCTCGTAGCGCGAGCTGACTCTACTAAGACTAACCCCATAAATGGTACATTACACAGATGGGTAGCTGAGGAAGATAGAATCATAAACTTCCCCACAGTGAGGATGAAGAACAGGATGCCAGTTTGGGTGAAGAAAAGAAAGGACCCATGACAATGGCTAGGGGAGCTGCCTTTTTAGCAAAACAAAGCACAAGCTCAATTAACTTCACCAATTACATAACAACCAAGAAGAAAAACAGTTTGAACGCCCGTTGTGACCGATAAAAAGTATCACTCAACACGGTTCGTAGTTTACGTGCGTGCTTATTACTGATTGTAAATGACGTGTGTAGGGCATACCTATTTGAACTGATAGTAGCCCGTCTTAACAAGTAATGTATAATTATATAGTACTTTTAGCATAATAGTAACCACGAACGTGAAAACTTAGAAAATGCAGAATTCAAAAGCATTGACATCGTTCACACGTAGTGGATGATCTTCAAACGAGATTGAAATAAGAATTTCTTGGGAATCCTACAAGACTCATTTGTTCTTTTTTCTGTGACAATGAACACGAGAAGCTAGATCGTGGACAATTAAATTGTCTTGTCGTTAACAAATGTGTACTATAGTTTGAACGTTTTTAAAATCATATTTTACTCGGAGAGAAGTTTTCTTCCATCATAATTTATTTTTTTTATGTTTGTGTAATAGTAATTATATTTGAAAGAGAGATCATTATGTAATACTTTTTTTTTATTCTTTTTGTGTTTTTGAAAAACATTTAAAATATAAAATTTATATTTATATTTAATAGAGCAAATAAAGTTTTAAAATTTAGAATTTATTAAAAATCTATTTCAAAGTTTAAAATATATTATATACTATTTTAAAAGTCGAGATTAAATAGATAAATTTTAAAATTTAAGGATTAAAATTATAATTTCTTTAAGTTAAATTAATTTAAATATTTCTTAATATAGTAAATTATCTAAAAATATTTTTATATTTTAAAATTTTTAAATGATCCTAACTTTTAAAAAAAAATTAAAAAATACCATTAAGTTTCATTTTTTTTTTTAATGAAAATTATTAATACTAAGGAACATAATTATTAAAAGTGTTTAAAAAGGGCATGGGAGCTTTTAAAAGTTTCATAAATATTTTAAAATTTTTTATTAACTTCATAAATACCTTTAAACTCGAGTATTTTAATAAATTTTTTTAAAATTTAAAGGGTATTTTTAAATAAAAAATTAACCAATTTCATTATTTAAAAAAAACTAAAATTAAAAATTTGAAGATATTATTGAAAATATGAAAATTTATTGGTATTTGTTTAGGCCATTATGACTATTTCTTTTTTATTAATTTAGATTTATATATAATTATTTATTGTCATTCGTACCCCAACATTTTATTGTTATTCCTAATTTACCCAAACAATCAGACAAATCCAGTTCTTAGGTTCCAACTAGTCACCGACGAAGGCTTTCATCCGTCGGTCACGAGTTCCGCGACCTTTCTCCTTCCTCTCCGTCGTCTTCCCCTAATATCCTCTCCAAATTGCCGGAATCTCCGCCTCTCCGATGACCACCTACGGTACAATCCCCACCTCCGCTGCTCCTGGAACCTCCTCCAACCTCGAATTCTTCTCCCGCGGTAAACAGCGTCTCGAAGCCGGTTTCGCCACTCGTGCTCCATGGAGGCTCATGTTCGATTTCCACTCCTTCACTCTCTCTTTCAACTTCCGCGACACTTACTCTCGCGTCAAAACTAACATTGCCTATTTCCGTATGAATTATGCAATGGTCGTCCTCTTCATCCTCTTCTTGAGCCTCCTATGGCATCCGATCTCCCTCATAGTCTTCACCGCCATGCTTGCCGTTTGGTTGTTCCTCTACTTCCTTCGCGACGAGCCTCTGCTCGTCTTCGGCCGTTTGATTGACGATCGAGTGGTTTTGGCTGTGCTATCGGTGTTCACACTTGTGTTCTTGTTTCTGACCAACGCGACGCTCAATATCCTGTTGTCGATTCTGATCGGCGCTGTGCTGGTGCTGATCCACGCCGCTGTGAGGAAGACGGATGATCTGTTCTTGGATGAAGAAGCTACAGCGGTCTTCACCATCGGTTCGCGTGCTCCTGGATCTTCAATTTCCGGTTATTCATCGTAATGTTTAACTTGATTTCATCAATCATTTCGAATGAAATTAGTAGCGTCTTTATTCATCTTTTTTTCTAGTTTTGAGTTCGTTCAATCATCTTCTACGGAATCCATCATCCAATAGAGGAAAAATTCATTAGTCTTGAAGTCGAAAGAGAGTTGGATTTTCTCTCATTCAAGCAGAATTTGGGAATTTGATTTCCACTACAACCACCTCGAAATCGATTTAGGGTTTTCTTTTTTTAGTGAATGAGATAGAACTAGAAACAAACAACGCTCGAAATCATTTTTAGAAAATTTCAATAATTACCTATCAACTTACAAACTTCATGTACATAAATTTCTTTGCAACTTGGTCAGTTTTTTCAGATTCTCTGTATTCAATGTGGAAAATAGTATGATGTTATTGTTAGGTAGACCCATCTCATGTACCCTCGTAACTATCCATATAATGTTATTCGTTCTGACTCTACTCGTTAGGGGTGAGCATCGATCGATAGGTGTCAATTTTAGGCACAATTGACACTAAAAAACCAACCTATCAATTTTAATCAGCTGGTAGTTGACGGTTTTATAGTCATATATGTCCGAGTCAATGTAACATTTGTTGGACTAATGGATCAATTTGTTTTATGAATAGAAAATTTGGGTATATCAAAATTTATTCTACATCAAAACCGTCCAGGTCGATCTTGGCTACATATACCAACCCCATGGCCCAAGAGGGCTCTCGAGGCCCTCGTGGGGGTTGACCGTCGTACGAAGAGAGTGAGCTCATCAAGGTCGGTTAAGGTTTTCGTTGTTGGTTGTACAATGATTTTCTCTTGATGAAATATTTGTTAGATGATGAAAGTCTTATATCGGCTATCGACTAATGTAGGGAATGATCTTGAGTTTATAATCAAAGAATATTCTTTCTATTGTTACGAGACCTTTTTAGGTAAACCCAACACAAAACGTGGTCTACTCTTGGGTAAAGTCGGGTTGGTATTGATATAACATAAAAGATAATATACTAGAACCAAACACAAAACACAGCGGAGAGGAACTTTTACCCACGACATGATAAACCCAGTACATCTTGCCCGATCTCCACCATTCTCCGCCGTAAATTCCGCCGGCATTTCGCCGAATGGCTCACCAGCCTTACGATCCTTACTACATCTATAATCAACCGACGCGCTCTTCATCTCCGGTATCCCTGACGATGTCAAGGCTCGCGAGATTCACAACCTTTTCCGCCGCCGGCCGGGACTCAAAGTACTTTTCATGTTCACACCTGTCCTTTCTCTTATTCATTATGCAGATTTGTATTATCTCTTCGCTTCCAATTTTTTCATCTCTCAATGTGTTGTCTACATTTTTCTTGCATATTTTCTGCATCACAATCTGAATTTTGGGGCTCATGTGCATATTTGATGTTTTGCTATACATTCAGGAGGCAGTGAACTGGACGAACCATAAAAAAAAGAAGCTGAAGAAAGGTTTGCAAAGCAATAAATAAAAGTTTAATTACTCTCAAATAGAATATTACAAGATGTAGCATCGCTGGGATAAATTCTTGCAAACTTTTTTGCCTGGAGGTTGAGTATTTTGTTGTTGTTGTTCTTGTCGGAAATATGCAGCAGTGAGGCTTTGATGACTCCTGGTAATGCTCTACCTGCTCCATATGTACGTCAATCTATCTTCCTTGTTAGGATCTAGGAAAAATCTGTATCAGAATGCAATCCATTTTTGTTTCATGACATACAATTAAATATTTCTGCTGCTTAACTGGTAGTCTAATCTGATCCACATCGGTTTGCTTTTTGCCAATTCTATATGAAGTTTATTATTTTTGAATCTTTGTGTTTGTCCAGGAATGAATTAGTGTTCTGTAGAAAATTGTTCGATACTGATTTCGAAGTTATGATTTTATAAACATGTTTTGCTTTCCAATTAGTGATAGCCTGTTATTGCGGTTTGACCATGTGATATGATATGGTTTGCTTTAATTTATGTATGTTTGACTGTTGCTGGCACTCGTTCCCTTCTTCAATCGATGGGGACTCCCAATCCACTCTCTTTTGGGGCCCAATGTCTTTACTAGCACACCGCGTTGTGTCCACCCCTCTTTTTGTTGGCACATCGCCCGGTGTCTGGCTCTGATACCATTTTTAACAGTCTAAGCCCACCGCTAGCAAATATTGTCTTCTTTAGGCTTTCCTTTTTGAGCTTCCTCTCAAGATTTTTAAAACGTTTCTGCTAGGGAGAGGTTTCCACACCTTTACAACGAATGTTTCGTTTTCCTCTCCATCCGATGCGGGATCTCACGTAAGATATCTAATCTACTATATTACCAATTAGAATAAATCCTGCTTTCAATATTATTTTCTTGTTTTTTTCTCTTTATTAAAACATCATCTTTGATGTAGGACCCCGTTTCAGAAGAAATCTCCACTAATCTAACTATTCTAATGAAACATTTGGAACATTCTCAAGTAGAAAGAACACAAGTAGAAAGAACACAAGTAGTAGCCTTCTGATATCCTTAAAGAGTAATGAGGTCCATCTTGAATATGCCTTCATTTACCTGGTTTTCTTGTTCCAGGATATTGAACAAGCTAACACGGTTATGGAGGAGCTTCAGGGCAGCATGTTACCATCGTTGGACTGAGGCGACATACATACAGAGTATTTCTACTCTAGTTACTTCTGTCTCCTAATTAATAGCTCGGTATAACTCATTGATTGATCTTGCATGTTCTTAATTTACAGGTATGCACGGTCTAAAATGAGGAAGATTTAGTTGAAAAGCGTTCATTAGTTCGGTAGGGACTCCGTTCGCTGCTGCTCTGAACTTTTATTGCATTGATCAATCTGGTATCGCTTCTAGTGCTTGCAAACTACACATCATATTACTGCCTAAATAATGACAATAGACTATGTGAACTTGAAAAATCATGGGCATTTTAAGATAGTTATGCATTGTGAAGTATTGCTAGTAGTTTCTTCTTGGATTAGTTTGAAGAAGGCTGTTGCTATGCAGTAAGTAGTTAATCTCGTAGTGGAAGTGTTAGAAGAAGCTTTCTAAACTGAAACAGGAGCTGACTTTAGCTGTCATGGTTAAAAAGGAAAAAAAAAGAAAGAGAGAGGAAATCATTATCATGGATTAGAGGCAGTTCAAGCCATTTTAATCTCGAGTAGTAGGCTGAGTGTAGTTTGTGGCGACCTTAAGGACAAGCCGCCCGGGGGGTCCCCCTTTAAACGTCATACATATATTCAAACCGTGAGATGGATAGAGGGGCTGATTTTTCCTTGCAGGAGGTGGATGGAGTTAACTACGGGGCTGTATTGAACTCGCCAAAATGACGTCTACTCCAAACACATTTGAAAGGTCTCAAAAAATACTATAGGGAGTCATAAAGCCAATTCTCCGCCACTTTTGGGCTTTGTGTCCTAAGCGAGCTACTCTATGGCACATGCGTGTGTCATAGCAAGGGTGAGCGTTACAAGACGAGTGTCTCAGGTGCTTCCTTTGAAATTTGATTTTCAAGGACAATGTCAAACCGCACGAATGTGCTGACATTGCGCCCATGCCCATGTGTTAGAGGTTTGATTATGCACCTAATATCTGGTACAGAGTCCATAAATAATGACATGAATACGATAGGGTCTAATGTCTCGATGGAACCCAAATGGATGGATGTTTGGGATGTCTGATGTTATGAATGGCACAGGGGCTCATTTTCAATAGTATGTCCGAGCGAGTCGATAGCCAATGACATCCCGATATTTGAGATGCCATCATGATATGTGGGTTATATTGTAGGTTCCAAGATGACAAGATGAGATCGACGTTGCATTGAGAGACCTTGGCTCCCGAGTAGAGGCAAGATCAAACCAAATGACTTGACCTAGTGTAGAGGCAAGTTGATTAAGTTGCAAATGATTGAACATGCACGCACGGGCGGCATGTGTGATCGAACAAGTTTTGATTCCACACAAGTTGTGTTTAGTTAGATAACACGAACCTCGTCTAAGGTTCGACGAAACCACAAAAACGGGTGAAGGATACATATAAGGCTTGGGTTTCTCTCAAGACTCATCGTGGGTATGTCAAGATCATGGGGCCACATGGTTGAAAATGTTGGACCGGGACACGGGACACGAGACACACACAAAGGGCATATCTGTCCAATTGGTGTTTGAACTTCTAGATTTGTGTTATATTTGATCACCTTTTAAAAAATTAAATATTCTCTTATAAATTAAATAAGAGTTTGTTTATTATTGTTTAGTAGTTATCTATTGACTATGCAGTATGCACGGATCCTTTGTTCCTTTTTTTTTTTTTTTTTTT